TATTTACTCATGTGTTGATTACCTGAGGAATGCCCTACAAGGTTATCACTCTTGCTACCGTGTTCACACTGTTGTTACAAATTGCTGACGCTTCAACTTTTTTGTTGCAGGACTTTCCTTCCAACCTAATACCAAGGCAGACCTAAGAATTCAGATCTCATAAGTATTTTTTTATTTATTTATTAAATATACACACAGAGGTACACTTCAGTAGCAAACAGGAAACGAAGCCAGTCACAAACTTTAGCAGCCAAAAGTCAGAAAAAGTGTTCTTACATTTGGTTTGATTTCACGATACTGCCACGGCAGAGCATGGCATCTGAGGCAAGTTTTTGATTGTTTGGGAACGAAAGGGAACATATACGTTGCCTCAGTCCCTATGTCAAAACGAGCTCGTTTTGAGTGGGCTCGCAGCATTTAGCACTTCCTTCAGAAACAATGATCCAGCTCTTCCATGTAGTCTTTTCAAAGCTGGAACCAACGATTCATTAGCTCACCCTGAATCGACTATGATACGAAGGCGATTCAAAGTTCGTCCAGTCCATTTAAGCTTTTCAGGAAATTTGCGGAATTCCCTTATGAAACTATTCCAAAGAGAGTTAAGTGTGGTAAGCGCTAGACAAGGAGGAACTCGAAACCGTTTATAGATCATCGAAGATAATCATTCTCCACACTCCTTATCTTTATTGCAGCTTTCTCTGCAGAACATCCCACAAGGATGGCGATCTGTGAGCAGAGCTTCGGCTTCGGACGGAACTCGAACCTGTTTTTAAGCTTCTCAGGCATCTTTCTCCGTATACCTTTCACCATGCTGGAAGTCGAGTGTGGTGTCGGTGGTGTAAGGACGGTCCCCTGAAAGCCCAGGTACGGGTTCGAGTCCGACGAAGTTTTGCCCACAAGTCGCCATCATTATGAGGCTTTCGCATCGCGTTTCGCGGCGAAATTAAAACACTTAATAAGAACATCAACTCAAAACGGATTTTCTTTGTAGAATTAATTTCAGGCCTGGTCGATGTTTTAATAGTGTCATTATTATTATTTCATTTGACTATTTATTTATTCATGTGTTCTATGACACGCTAAGTCGAATAGTCAAATATGCAGATACTTGATCAGTTCTAAAAAAAACCAAAGGAGTTACGGTAAGCCAGTACTAATTAACCCATAAACGAACGCATAGCCCTTTAGCGGGCCGCATAGCCCTTTATATCGCGATCCTGGGACCGCCGGCCCGCGATCCCCTGAGCCAGGAAAACGGGCTTTGTCCCACACTCCAGACACGTCCGAAGCGTGTGGTCGCAAGTGTTTCCGTTCGACCCTCACAAAAAAAGTTGAGAGTTAACGGGTTGACTGACTTCTGAAGGGTAGGAGGCCTGGTTGGCTCGTGAGAGTACCTATTCGGGATTCCTTTCCTGGCCCACTCCTTTGTGATAGTCATTTGCCACTTCACCAGATCATATGATACCCATACTTTTCTGGCTTCTACGTATCGGCTGGGTCCTTTTTTGGAAGGGTAGATTGGATGCAAATGATTTCGAGAGTGTGTAATACGAGACCAACAAACGTCATTCCCGGAAGTTCCGTAACCTGCGATTTTAGAGTACATTATCAAGAAGGCACAGTAGCTTTACGCTGAAGCTAAATGGTACTTTCAAGTAGTAAAAATCTTCGAACCCCACGTCACGTCTTCGAAAATCACCGCCGTTGAAATGTGAGAGTCTGTCCGATGTGCTCCCCCCACTAACTTCATGCAGCCCAAGATTATTAGCTTCTTAAGTTGTACCACCAGATATTTATTGCTCCCTGGCTTACTCATGCTACAGTGTTTAACCGGAAAGGCATATTTTTGTTTAGGGACTTTGGAGAAAAGCTTCTTTAGTTAGATTAGCCGGCGGCCGATCTTCAAAGAAGGTGTTCTCAGGTCTAGGATGCTTCTATAAAACACAACCTTGATGACTACTGGAGGTGAACTACTTTCATTTTATACTTTCTGTGATTCAGGGATGTAGTTTGTACACTTTAAGCTGTAGCTAAACCGAAGAATTTGACAATGTTTTTCGTGGTGGCATAAGCTGTTCCTTCACGTTCATTTCCGTTTATCTCTAAGGAGGATTTCAGAAATGTCAGCAAATCTCTCGGATTATTCAATCCCGAGTGATTGCATCCCGTTCTTCGCTCATTTTTCTGTAAAAATGTTCTATCAAAGACGACCGCGCCCACCTTCTTCCTCATCGCCGCCTTTGGCCACGCCCATCATCAGGGTATGAGGTGTTCAGAGTGAGTCGCAGTACGGCATTGTACAGCAGCAGCGAGCAGTCACAATCGGACTACATTGGTCCAATGGCCTTCTTGTGCAAGTGCACCCTTTTTGGTGAGATCTCATGGCCTGAAGGTTGCATTCCTTCATTGGGAGCCTCCCGATTATCTGAACTCTTCCGTTTGATTCTCCTCCAGATTTCCCTCGTGGTCTTATTGCCCTAGAGTCCGAGGGAAAACTGTTTTCTGGATATCCCCCATGAAACGTGAACTTGCTAGGACCCTTCTTTTCCTCGGAGCTCTTCTTTAGGCTTTGTGAGCACTGTATGAGAAAGTCAATGAGCAAGGCTGAGAGTGACTTTCCAGAGAGATTCATTGGAAAGTAAGGGAAACAACTGGGAGTAGCAATAGCTCTGTTTATACTTTAGGAGAGCTCTTCCAACTGATTCCAGCCCTTTTCAACCGATCTTTATAGTTCAAACAATTGACAAAAGATTTTCCCAGTGGTACCCATTCCTGGTTGGTACTTGCATGTGTTACGTGCGTTCCTTGTTTTGAATTCGTAACAGCACAGGCAGCTATTTTGTCACCTCTGATTGGATTACTGGTATAAACTACACGGTCAAGTCGTGGAATAGTTACTCACCCTTGGGTTTTCAGAACTCATGGAATCACTGATGGCTTCTAAACCGTTCGCAGGCAACGACTCGGCTGCTATTCTTGATGGTTACGGTAATGCCTCGTTGTCGTCGTCGNTTACTTGTTTTGAATTCGTAACAGCACAGGCAGCTATTTTGTCACCTATGATTGGATTACTGGTATAAACTACACTGTAAAGTCGTGAATTTGTTTATCACCCTCAGATTTTCAGAACTTATGGAATCACTGATGGCTCCCAAACCGTTCGCAGGCAACGACTCTGCTGCTATTCTCGATGGTTACGGTAATGCCTCGTTGTCGTCGTCGATTCGTGTGTTCTATCCGATTGTTCTGTTCATGTCAATGCTATCAAGTGGAGAGTCATTCGGTATGCTTCAGCTATGCTCCAGCTTGCCTTCATTTCAATGCAACTTCCTTATCTACCTCTTAATTGCTTATAAAATGCAACGTATTGATAGGAACTATGATAGGATTTTCGACACAACTGAGGAAGGAAGCTGTCATTGTTAGACCCTTTGAGTTAAGCTGCAGGCACATCAGCTTCAGACAAGCGCTTATTATGAGCGAAATCTTGAATTGGGAGCTTGGAACGTAAGCAACCGCCGACCAATTCCGTACGGACTTCTGCATGAGGCCCCCTCATGGATGAATTACGCCCACGGTGACATTCAAATTTTGGAAGCGGTACGACAGCTTCTATGCCGTATTATGACGTGATTTGAAAGAATGGGATTTGAAGGGCGAGAATTCAAACATCAGTGAGTTTCCCCAAGCACTGGGAAGTTTTTGACATGCTGAGAAGGGCGATCACCCTCTTGTGCTTGATGTCCAATTTTGATAAGTGGGAGTGTAGGTAAGGACTCTCAGTAATTACCAACTATGGCCACGACTGTCGTCATCGGTAACCCGATTTAGCGACTTTGCTTGTGACTACGGAAGTGAATGCGGAAGTGAACGAGTAAATACAAAAATAATTTAATACAAAGATTAATTAAATAACACACAGCTAAAGCTCTTTCCCGAAATAGCCTAAGCTACGTAGTAAACTACGGTTAGAGAAAATTTAATCCATGAGGAGGCGGGGATTCTATGGAAATTCTCAGAAGATCAGTATTTTCGATTAAGCCTTTTGGCTTAAGGCCTCAATGAACCTTTCTCAGGAGTGTGTGGTTATTGACCTCTTAGATCACTCTGCACGCATAACTCGCCATTCCGTATAGCACCCACTTCCTCATTCCTGTTCTGACGTATTCGACAGGAAAGCGCTCTAAAATGTCTCCCGTCATCCGTGAATTTCCCCGTCCTCCATATTCTGGTCATCAGGGAACAGTTAAAGGGAGCTTGCGATTCAGAGAGCACATTTCCAAGGTGCGCTTAAAGCCGTCTAAAAGCTCGTATGAAGGGCCACTGAAATGGCAAAGGACGACTGCTTCCGCGCTCTCACTCGAGCTCGGTTGATTCTGGGGTGTGAAATACCTGAATCAGTGGGACGAGCTCGGACCGTTGGCGCATTTGAGACATCTAGGCAGTGAAGCTGAACAATAAAAGTAACTGTGGTGCTACCAGGGCACATTCACCACATCCTGAGAGTAAGACTGATGAATGAGCTGAAAAGATGGTGGCCGAGCTTTGGATTATAGGAGAAAAGCCAAAAGGCAGTTCCCCACATGAGCCACGGATCCATCGAGACGGCCAAAATCGTGACCTGTAGCGGTTCATCAGCTATAGAGCCATCATTTCTTCCAAGCCCCAAGAGAGAAAATTTACTGATCGCTTGTGTAGAGCCGTAACCTACGCCGTTCCACATAGAATTTGAAGCAGTTCCTTCTTTTCAGCAGTTTCCCTGCCAGTAAGAAGTGGGGAGTTATTCAGGGCAAGACAAGAGTCCACCATTACCCTTTTTTGATACTAATTCTGAGTACTTTGTATAGAAATTCCAGGCAGATGCTTCAATACGGAAAAAGGGCTCAGTATCGCTGGAAGTGAATACCGCCGATTTCGAAACGTCAACCATAGAGGGTGATTCTTGAAATTTGAGACTTCGCATGTGATTTTGAAAAATTGCAATCAATTCAGATGTGCCGTGGAATGTCGCGATGATCCATCCTGTTTCGCATATGAATGGTCGGAACCGAGTTCGCTATGCTTTCTGAAGTCACGATCGCTTAGTGGTGACCTTATTAGGAAAGCTGATGCGATCATAGGATTTTGTCTAGATGACGGTAAACAAGTTTACATGTTGTTTATTTACGGGCTGAGATAAGGCCTCAGACCCGGAAGGGACTTCATAGGGTTGCTACCATTTCCTGTTGAACACGAAATTTTGGGAGGGACAGAAACACCTGTGTGATCGCCCTTTCTGATCATGTCCAAAAAAGGTTCTCTGGAAGCCCCTCCGACGCTGACAGAAATTAATATTACAAAGAACATTGGGTAAAAGGAAATTGTAGCTCAAAGTGATGCCTTCGAAGTAGATTTTGGTGGAAGCTTTCTAACCAAATGTAAGCTCCTGAAAGCGTCGCTTAACAATTATAAGAGCAGCCTGATTACTTGAACGGAATCGGATCTGTTACGGAAGATGAGGCAATCCTTCTGTCCCTCTTTGGAACTAGAATCAGCAAGACTGTTTCTCCCTGGGCTAGCCCAAGCCTGCCTGTAGGTATGGCTATCAAGGGGTGTCCTAGACAATTCCTAGACGTGAAGTGTAGTATATTCTGTCAAACATAGTGCTGATGTATGTTTCTGATTAGTGTTCCAATGTTAAGAAGACGAAGAAAGAGACCGATTCCAAGATCATGCCGCCTTTGGGCCAGAATTGGTCTCAATCAAGGAAGTTGAAGGTGAGAAGTGCAAGGACACATGCATGGCCGTTCGTGAAGCTGCCGTTTATAGCTGGACACCGAATGATGCCGACGATGATGACGCCATTGTCGGTTCGTTTTTAAGGTTGAGCTGTCACCTGTGATGTTTGTCTTATTGTGTAGGCGATTTATTCCAGGTACTTGCAAATGCATCGAGTCCTTGATGTCTGTGAAACTCAGTTTCAACTCATTTTCCGGTTTTCTTGGGCCAAGAAAGTTTCACCTTCAACGAGGAAGACGTCATAGCTTCAGTGCAATCCGTTGATTATTGAAGTCTACGGGGAGCTGTCGACCATTTCTTTTCGATCTCTTTAGACTTGCCAGTAATTCACAGTTAGATGATAGGTGGAAAAGAATTGTAGCGATGAGCTCACCCATAGAGCGATTGTGGTTTTCGTTCGAGCGATCCTGCTCTTGCTGTAGAAACCGTAGTTGATAGACACAAGCTTCTCGATATCAAAAACAGTCGATCTCGTCTACGAGAGGGTCAATTACGGGTTTAATATTGACAAACCGAATAAACACTTCGATCAATGCATACTCTTTTATAAAGCTCCAATACTAAAATGATCAGACTCAATGGAATGAGCCAGGAAGGAGCCAATGAGCTCTCCTATCATCCCATCTTATCGTATATCTCCTGGAATTTCTGTGGAGAGATTCGATCTGCGGAAATGCGACCCAGAGCATCTGGACATCAGCACTGGTCCTCAGTAGACATCAGTTTTCGAAGTTATAGATGCACAAAGTCTTATACGCATGATTCATCATCCTTTCTTTTGTTGGATCGCCACAATCGAAAAAGCAATTTGGGTTGACCTTCTTTCAGCTCTTGAAATACTGCGGAAATACTAAAAAAAATCATAGGGGACGTCATACACTCAGCACCTTTAAGTCTACTTCAGGAAATGAAAAAATCCTATTCAGTAAAAGCAATTTTGTTATTCAAAAAACCCCTTCATTCCCACCAAGGCTGAAAGAAATCGTTAAAGAAACCAGGTGAAAGCACAGACAAACGTCAAAGGCTTGAAAATATGAAACAGAACAGAAATCCATTCGTATCTCCATCCACAGGTACAGAAGCCGCAAGACGGATAGGGATACGAATTTTACCGTATGCACGTCTTGGATTACGGTAGCCGACATACGGCCATCGTGAGTTTATGTTGTATTGGTCCGCTATTTCTTCTACGGTGAGGAGGATTGCAGACGTCATTACAGTTAAGCTCATTACCTCCATCTCGAAATAAACGCACCTCTTACACTGATTGACGGGGCCGCTTCATCACATGATCACCGTAATCCAGAGGCTACGTATGGCATGTTCAAAAACTTATTGGGGAGATATAGTTGTTTTACCCCNCCCCGAAGTTGTAGTCTGCTAGCAACTAAGATGTCTATTCTTGTTTATGTTGTATTTGTAATGCTCACATGTGTTGTTGCACAAATAAATAAATAGCTCTATTCCCATGACAAGTGCCTATTGTGTCAATCCTTGTGAAAGGAGTCATTATCGGTTTTGAGGTAACTTATAGAAATGATCTTGAGTAAATCACTTTAATGTTCCGGTAAACGGTTATTTACCAAACACAGATGTGTTTCTATAATACTGAACTCAACCAAATAAAAGCACATAGAAGACTTTAAGTAGAAATTGAAAGCTTTCAATTGAATAGTTATCATGCCATTTGTTCAGTTTCTCTTTGGCACTTTCCATAGCATCAACTGAGGTCTTTAAAACTCACAGATCGTGTGGGTGCTGATAAGCTATGGCATAAAAGCCGTTAAGAAGGCAAGGGCAAGCGGAATCGTGGTAGTGTAAGGGAGGAATGAAGAGCACTAAGCCCGAAAAGCACAAGTTTAACTTTGAGTCCCGCTCGGAGCCGGATCTCTGTCTATAACTCACCATCATTGTGATAATCCACAGCAATTTAAAAGGAACTGGCGAAGTTCTTTATCTGAAGTTGGGCTTTTTGTGTTACACTTGGAATGAAATACATGTGCCCATTTCCTCCTCTAACCCCAGAACTCGCTTTTGTTCAGACAGCTAAAAAAGGCGGAAGCCCGAGAATTTATTCTGCGCTTTCATTCTCGTTTTTTTTTTGACATAAGCCTTTGTCGTGCACGAGCTATTACAATCTACATGTTTTTTCTTTTTTTTTGAGGTGTTTTTTTGTTTGAAGTAATAGTTATTTGTGCCACCTTCGAAAAGAAATGTGTGTGTCCATTTCCGCTCCTAGCCCCAGAGCTCGCTTTTGTTCAGACAAATAAAAAAGGCTGAAGCCTGACAAATTACTCTAAGCTTTTATTCTCGTTTTTTTGACATAAGCCTTTGTCATGCACGAGCTTTTACAATCTACATGTTTTTCCTTTTTTTCGAAGTATTTTTTCTTTGAAAAGTGAGATATTTGGGCTACCTTTGAAGCGAAATGTGTGTGTCCATTTCCGCTCCTAACTCCAGAACCCTCTTTTGTTCAGACGACTGAAAAACGCGGAAACTCGACAAATTATTCTGCGCTTTCATTCTCGCTTTTTTTTTGACGTAAGCCCTTTGTCAGACTACAATCTACAATGTACAGATGAGAAGTAGTCTATGCAGTAGGGAGTTTACTCCACAGTACTCCAACACAAGTTACTTCGGCTTTAACAACTTTCAAGTCTCACCTACTAACAGTGACGAAAAAACTTCTAAAAGGAATCAAAAGCTCCCAGTTTGGGAGTCTTCACACTATTTTAAGAGGTACGACCAAAAATGTGATTCAGTTCCTGTTTGGCACCTTCCATAACGCCAACTATGGCCTTCACAGAACGTGTGAGTGGTGATAATCCATGGCACAAAAGCCAGAAGGAGAAGCCGAACGGAGTCTTAGTAACGTAGCGGATCAAGAGCACGATGCCCGAATAGCACAAGTGCAGTTTCGAATCCCGTCCGGACCGAAGTTTCGTGAGAATCTACAGTACCTCAGGTGAAACTGCCGAAGTTTTTTCTCTAAAGGTTGTGTCACAATTGGAATGAAATGTGTGTGTCCATTTCCGCTTCTAACTTCAGACCCTCCTTTGTCCAGACGATTGAAAAACGCGGAAACTCGGTGAATTACTCTGCCCTTTCACTCTCGTTTTTTTTTGACGTAAGCTATTGCCAGGAACGAGCTATTACAGTCTACAACGTACAGATCGAAAGTAATCGACGTTGTAGTAAAGTGCATTAAGGCGAACCGAGTAGTCATTTTAAGATGGCTGTGTACAGATCAACATGACGTGGATTGCCTATAATAGTCATTGAAGCATGAATGATGTAGGGCATTATTAGATACCTTCTATACATAATAATTATACCATAATCGTTCAAAGACCACAACGAAACCCTCCTCAACCTAGGATTATAACACATATTAACACACAGTGACACATATTATAACAATATTGTATTAAAACTAACTATTATATTCAATGTAACGTTTTAGTTATTACGTAGGGTTCAATAACCATGGAATAATTGGGGATGAGACAAATTGCGAAATAGCCAGATTAAATGGCTACGAAGGTTGAGTTTTTCAAAATCTATGTGAACCATTAGTACCAGGAGGAATTGCAAGTAATATCAATCCACCAAGCTATGGAACATAGGGCAGATTCCTAATCTCTTACATTTACTCTCCTGCTTCGATAGGTTCCTTCATGCGATATACGCGTGCTATTGGGGCATTGAGGGCTCAAAGTTCGACAACCCCGCCTATCAGTGTTGGAGTAGACGGGGGTAAAAGAACTTTTAGCTCTTATTGCGCCACTTCCAGACATGGTCACGCGGTTACTGCGCTAATTATATCACAAACACGCTAGGGCCAAATTCTCACCTGGAAGTAATTAGCAGAACCAATCCCATCAGATCTGCGCTATTAAGTATTGTGGTAGCTACAGCACATTCCAAACTAGTTCAAAAGAGTACTTCTTCGAAACACTGCTTATTCCTCAACTTTATTCTCGATTGATCAATCAATCAATTCTAATTCGCCAAATTGTGTGCCAAACGACTCAGAAGTATAAACTTTTCGGCAATGACACTATTTCAATTTGGGTTGTGTTGAATATCTAACGACAGTATCGTAACAAACTTAAGGATATTTTTCATTTATCAACATACAGCATCATCAATCATACATCAATAAATCGAAGAACAGGTAGGCCGGACACGTTGTGCGATATCGTGGTGACCGCTCTGCCAGGGTGGTCTGATTTCCTCGGGACGCCAAGCGAACACTAGGACGGCGGCCAACGCGATGGTCAAATTTCTTCACGAAAGATCTGAACGAAAGGAATGCTGAGCACTGTGTTCCTGAAGCGAGGGCGATTCACTGGACTACTCCGGCTCGGGACTAAATGTTATGGGAGCTCGAGGGAATCGATGATCAACGAGGCGATAGGTAACACACGTCATGTGATACAACATCGATTAATGGCTTAATCTTTATTGTAATCATTGACTTTCGTCCATCTCTCTGGCAACTTCTCGATACCAGTTCCCCTTAAATTTGAAGGCTGTCTGCCGGGAAAAAATATCTGCCCCAGTCTCGGTTATCCCGACCTGCTTGTCTGCTCGGAGAAAACGGTAGTCGAGAATAGGACTTGAGAGAATGGGGGATGGCGGAGTTCTTTCAGCAGAGCTCCTAGATCTTCTGGCGTGTCATCGTGCTAGGTACGGGTGGACACTGTTTTGTAGAAGAAAGGTCTCTGATCGTTTTTGGTTTCTGAGGGAACGCGTCAGCTACTCTCAGCAGCTATCAATGTACACTGCTACAGAAACACCACCATCCGAGAATTGCATTCCATCGACAACATAAAGAACTCTCTTTTGCCGTAGACTAGGTTCGATCACTATACATCAACAGGATCAGAGATCGAATCACAGCTGTGAGGATAGACACGAAGAAGGGCCACGAAACAGTAACGTCCGTGCATACACCAGAAGCCGACCGGAACGAATATAAAAAAGACTTCTGCCTGTGCCTTGACAGATCAGCTCCAGAGGGGCCTATCTAACTGCAATGAATCATCTGAATGACCACAGTGGCAGTGACAGAAGAGGTTAGGAAGGGCTTGAGGAGGAGAAAGAATAGGAGTCAGAAACGCACCACCTCCACATCGATTAGAAATACTAAGAAGGTATTTTACGCAACGGAGTGAGGAAATGCAAATCGATCTGTGCAAGTAATAAGGTCGTTCTTCTGAAATCGTAAAAAAAGCTCAAGGTTCTGCCTAACGAATATT